GTGCCCTGCACAAGACCTGACTCACTGAACTGTGGCACCGGATGGTTGTCCGGCACCTGGTCAATGAGCCCCACCAGGCTGGCCCGTATGTGTTCGTTTTCCTCTTTTTTCAGAGGTCTGTGTGAGTCATCATCTAGAAAGATGATGACCTGCAAGTCCCCGCCAGCAGCCAGTGCCATTGAAGGCCTGTTGCGATGTTTTTTCGGGGCCTGGGCACTACCTGGAGTTGAGACTGTAGCCCTCTTCCTCTTAAGAGAAGAAGACCCTGCTCCAGCTCCAGCACTGGTTTTCGATGTGCTGGGTTTAGGGTGGTCAGCATCCRAGCCTTTGGAAGGCTCTTTTGCCAACTCCCCCTTCCCAGCCACCAAACAGGAAGAAGATTTCTTCTTCTTCCTCTTCTTCTTCCTTTTTTTCTTAAGGTCATGAAGGGAGAGACCCTCTAGATCTCCTGAGAGTTGATCTCCCCTCTTGACCTTTCCTCCATCAGAGGACCCCAACAGCATGTCGGTGTCCTCATCACTTAAACACTCAAGCTCTTGTGTGGCCCCGACCGCTCCTCGAAGAGGTGAAATCAAGGGGCTACCCTGGTGCTGAGTTCTCCTGGTAGACCCAGCATCAGCAAAGGCAGAATGCCTTGCCGTCACCGAGTCCCCAGGCACTAAGTCCTCCGGTTGTCCAGAGCCCAACACATAAGTATCAGGCTCCGAAGCCACAGTAAGAGTTGTTCCAGTCACTGTACTGGCCTGCCCAGCCTGGTTCCCCACCAGATAGACCAGAGGCACGGTTGTAAGACCACCTGTGGCACCCGCACCCACGGCGCCACAGGCTGGGTCCCTGGAGATTTTAGAACCCCCTTTTGCCGGGTACTGGGGGCCGGTCCCTTGTCCGCTCATCTTAAAATTCTGTCAACTTGCCATCCACCAGGGGTAGACGGCTAACGAGTGTTGACAATACCCGGGTTTTATATCAGAGTTTTCCTTCTCCTAGGCGGGTTGCCTGCCAAGGCTAACGAGCCCCACCTGCCYGGCTGCTTTTGGTTCACGGCACCCTATTCACCTTTCAGCTTATTCAGGCACACCCATACACAGCAGGGATCCCCCTATCCACCACCTGGGGGACGCGCCTCTACGCAGTGCAGCCTCAGTGCGAGTAAGTGTCATGGGTATGATTACAAGGTCACCAATTATGGATGCAAACAATTAATCGACTTACGATTAATTGTTGAATAATGATTTTGTAACCTCTTCAAGATATAATAAGAGATTGGGCCAATGACTAGGTTTGTAGGAGGACTAAGGTAAGAAGTGCAATGCAGAAGAATGATTGGAGTCACAGGTAAGTTGCTCTATTTTGTATTAAACAATATAGCAACAATTAACAATATAATAATTCTTTTTTAGAACAGAATAACAATATGAAAAAACAAAACACAACAATACCAATATCTGAGCTCAGATAGTATTAGTCTAGCCAGCTTTTATAGTCAAAATTCAAGTCAAGTCAATCCAAAGAGTCAGAGTTTGTGAAAGGTGCGGTTATGTCCTACACAGTTGTAATGGGTTGTGATGGGAGAACACCTTGTTCTCTCAGGCCAACTTGGAATGGCTCTCGTTCGGTTCAAAAGGGAAGGCTTGCCATCTTCCTTGGTAGGAAGAATTCCAGGTCCAACGATCCCCAAATAAAAAAACCTAGCCTGTAAACAACAGGACTATCACTAAATATGTTCACAGTTCGATATCATTGCATGGCTATAATTAAATCAATGCAAGTGTTTTAATAAAAATGGCACCAACATTAATATCAACTTTCTAATAGTTTTTCTGTACAGCTTAACCATGGAATTTAATGTTTTAAGTTCCAATTAGCTAATTCATTCATCAAAAGCTCACATATAACAAAATAATGAATTAACCATAGATTATGATTATTTTTTTTCTTTTGCCTCACAACACATATTAATAAAACAATGTACATTCACATAACGCTCAACTTTACAAAAGTAAATTCTCAAATTGTATACCAAAATACATAAAAATATCTGGGAATTTTTATTATTATTTTTATTTTTGTATTTTAATGCACAAAACCAGCACCGTCCAAACAAGTGGTGTCTTCACATGTCTCTGTAAGCATAC